GTGAATTTTTAATAATTCTTTATATCATAATCAATCCGAGATGGCCCAACTGGTCATACCAAACAATAAATATATTTTTGTTAGTAAACTTCTGGTTTACTATAACATTTGTTTCAATTATACTAATATTTGTATAGTACAAATCAAAAAATAATGTTGGTAATTTTTTCATGACACATTTTTTTTCTATTTCTTATCATTGTAACATATAGATATTTAATGTTCTTCTCATTTATAGTCTCAACATGATATCTGTTTTGGCAGATATCTTTAAAACTTAATAAATTTCTTTGAGACTTAGAGGAATATGAAGCATCATTGATAACAAATTTTGGTTCTTTGGGTAATATTATAATTGCTCTTCCAAAACTTTCAATTATTTTTGCATTACCCACTATAGTATTGATACTTGCACTATTCGGTGTAAGATGAGAAAAATATTTTTTTTTTATTTTTGAGTATGGTGTATGTTGTAACACTATCTATGAGTCATATATCTTCATTCTTATGCCCAACAAAAGAAAGAGAAACATTCTTATTCTTCGCCAAAAGAAAAGAAATGTATTAACATAAATTCCAAATACATCATGAGCAATAATGCTCTTAAAAGAAGAAAATGAAGTAAACATAAATAAAGCATATACTAAATTAAAAAGCATAATTAAGGCAAAATAAAACATTTTCTTTATCCAAACTCTTCTAATCATAATTCTCAAAGAAATTAGCCACCTTCATATGTGTCATAGCATCAAGGCCATTAAAATCATCTAGCTTATTGATATTATAATTCTTGTATGCAAAATTTGCCTCCACATCATCAGTTTGAAAAGTCAAATTTGCTTCCATATTATTTGAACTCTTTTTTATGGAGGCCTGATAAAGTTTTGCTAGATGCTCAAGTGTACGATAGGTACGTGACTAATGTCCTTTCATACCACACTAGTAACATTGGTTTTCAATAACTTTTGAAGGGCAAGAATCTCCTTTTTGCCCATCACCGAATTTCTTCTTTTAGTGGATATTTGGGTTATAATTGTTACTTCCACAACCATAATAACAGTAATTAATGCGTCCCCTACCACGGCCATGACCATGACCACATCTACGCACATGATAATTATTACACACAGTCACATTCGTTTCAAGGAATGAAGCTGATCCAATGGGATGAATCTCATGATTTTTCATCAATAGCTTATTATTTTATTTAGCCACAAGAAGACATGGGATTAATTCCTTTTCACAATACTAATGTTGTAGGAGCACATTTGAAACATGAAAAGTTAAAAAGGTTTTTTTTTTTTAATAAGTCCTCTTCTGTTATTTTCTCACCATATAATTTCAATTGAAAACTTATTTGGAAAACTACTGAATTATATTTGGTTATAGTTTTAAAATCTTAGAGCCTGAAATGCATCCATTTATAACAAGCTTTAGGCAAAATTGTCATTTTTTGATGATCATATCTTTCTTTTAAATTATTCCACAATTCTAACGAATCTTTCACCATTACATATTTAGCTTTCAACCCTTTATGCAAATGGTGGCATAAGAAAATCATGGCCTTAACCTTTTCTTGGCTAGTTGCTTTATTTCCAGGTAAAATAGTATTTCCTAGGCCTTTGACATCTAGGTAGATTTTAGCATCTAAGATCCAAGATAAATAATTTTTTTATGATATCAAGGGTTGTAAACTCGAGTTTGGTAAGATTTACCGTGGATCAAACTAAAATGATAATGACAAAGATAAGAATTACAATAAAATTGATGAATACTGAACCATAATAAATAAAATATTAGGATTCAAAAGTCACTTATAAATAAATTATTCCTTCAAAATTATAAACAAAAATAAATAAATAAATAAATAAATAAATAAATAAAGCATGAAGAATAACAAATAGACATATATGTGGATGGAAGAGATAAACAACACAAATAATTAGTCACAATAACTAATATAGGGACAATGTATATGATATATATAGAAGGAAGGGGGAAAAAGCAATAATATAAATAAATATATAAATATTGCAATAAACTAACTAATATGCATTTATCATATATAAATACTAACAATTTCAATTAAAAACAAAGATAATGTTACAGTGAAATAAATTAAATAAATACAAATTTATAATATAAATAATAAGTAAACCTATACTCACATATAATACTATTAGGCAATTATTATAAACAAATTATATAAACAACATACATAAATAACATAAATAAATATAAACAAATATAATGAGGGAAAAGAAAATATAAATAGTATAAATTATATACATATATATATATATATGAGAATTAGTAAAAAAAAACAATATAAAACAACATAGATACCAAGTAGAGATGATACATAAATTATATCAATTAAAAAAACATAAATAACATAATATAAAACACAAAGGGAGAAAAATAAAATAACATAATATAACATAAATAAAAGATAAAAAATGTAATGTAATGAAAAACTTAAAATGTATATAGAATAACATTATATAATATAAAACATGATAAGTAAGAAAGTATATAATACAAAATTAATATGTAACAAATGTATAGAAGATTAAGATTATATATGATGATGATTGAATAAGGAGATAATTGGATAATGAGAAGAATACATTATCTTACGAAATATCAAATTTTCATAGTAAGGTTGTGCTGATAAGATGTTATAAGTCAGGAAGAAATAAGGAAACTAGAGAGTAACAAGGAAAACAGGAGATATAAAAGACAATGGTTTTTTTCTCATTCGCTTTGTTTCATAGTACAAATGTCGTATGCATGACCTTTATTTATAAGCTCTCAAATATTGAAGTTCTCTACTAGGGTTATAAAGGAATAAAGAATATCATAATGGTATTAACAATAAGAAACTCCTCCCTAGTCATTTATTGAGGAGATTATGTAGTTTATAACACTTGAAGGTAAGAATCCTATGGGAATTCTAAAAGAGTTATGGGTATCCACTCATGCAATATTCATAGTAAGAAGCATGTAAATTGTATTTTCATCCTAACTCCAATCCAAAGTTCATATATAAATTGCTAAAGCAATATAAATAGAGTAACTTACATCAACGACCCTTCTATTTTATCTCAATTATAGAAACCTTCCCTCTATTTTAAAAACATATATAAACCTCCCTTACAATTAAAATAGATGTTACACTAACCTCGTTTCTATATTTAATATTCAATTTTCATCCACCCAAATAGCTAGTTGGCCGTTGAGTTTGACTTAAAATTTGTTTTAATCAAAATGTCACTTTTTAACTTAATAATTATTTAGACATTTATTTTTTAAAAATGTTTTTATAAAATCAAAAATAATTCTAATACATATATTTTTAAAATTTCTAATATGTTATAAAATTTATTAATTTTGATATATATCAAAAAAATTTATAATTTTAATATTTTATCATATTCATTAGAAATTATTTACTTTGATTTCTTTTAAATTGTAAGAATAGTCTTTGTTTATTGTATAAGTTTAAAAATTTTTATAAATTATTTAAATTTATAATTCAAAATTTTTGAGCACATCTTTGTTACAAAAATTTATAAACATGTTTAGTCAAAGTATATATATTTATTGAAAAAATTAGTTAAGTTTTTATATGTTTGCCTTAAATGAATGAAATTTATCTAACCGTAAAAATATAACTTAGGAATTTATTAGAATGAAGAGCAAAATAATAAGTAAAATTTATTTTAATATAAATTTCAGTTAAAAATAATGTTTTTAGAATCTTTTTAGATATTCCTAAATGTGTTAACTTATTAGATTAAACTATATATTTTTAAAATACAAGAGATATCTGTGTAATTGATACAAATTAAAAGGATAGTCAGAGTATTTTACTCATATAAATAAGCCTTCTATAGTTAATTTATAGACTAACTTAGTACAATACCTTATATACTTTAATAATAAAATTCCTAAAAAGAAAAGTATAATTTTTTTAAAATAATGATATTATATAAATCAATCAATCAACATATCGTTGGCGAAAAATCAATCAATCAATATAAAATTTAAATGAAGCCACGTGATTCATAATTCAACAATAACTAATTGATTTTTTTTAAGTTTTATTTAAATTCATTCTTAATAGATTTCACAATTCATATAATAATTTCATAATAATGTTTTTTTTCCCAAAATGTTGGATTTTGGATAAGCATGGATAGTTTTTTTCAACTCAAATTAAGTTAGTGATGGATACAAACTATTTACCCAAAGCAAGTTGTTAAAAGTTCAAATCTCAGTGTTTGTATAGCAATTTAATTGTGAATAGGTTTTTTTTCCCCCCTGTAATTCATGTATTCATTATCCTTTTATGAAGAGTTCAAACTCACAACTCCACATAGAAAAAAAGGTGAAAAAAAAATATTTGGTGTCATTGACTATATAAGACCCAATTGTAAAAAGTTTACTCTTACACTTAATAGTTGGATTAATTTTTTTTTTAAAAGGCATGGTTAGGTTTTCTTCTTGGACTAAAATAAAGCATTGGTATAATTTAAAATTTTATAAAATAAATTGTGAGAAATATAAGATTTTTTAGTAAAATAGATTTTGTGAAAAAAAAATTGTTAGACAATGTTTTCCTAACTAATATCAAAATCATGGTTTTCTTATATAACCAAAAAAATTTGGTCAAAAAAAATATAACGAAAAAAAAGAAAGATCGTGAAAAGTGTTTGGGAACCTTATATGAAAAGTATAATTTTAGTGAAAAATATTAATTAATAAAAGATTTTGAGTATTTGAGTTGTTTTTCCCCCTAAAACTACAGTTCTCTCTCCATGGTTTTTGCTAATTTTTGAAAACGCGAGGACGTTGTTAGTTATTAACCTAATCCCGTCATAATCCTGTCTCTCCTCGCACGTTGCTTCATCTCTTTCTGTACTTCTCCAACAAGCCAGCTTAAATCAACAGCAAACACATCACTCAGTGGTGGGTTAAGGCTAACTCCCAAGGTCTCCATCATCTTCCTTCATTTTCCTGCAACCCCATCGGCCATTTTCATTCTCACACCTTTCCGCGTCCTCCTCCTCTTTGGACCACTTAAAGTTGCAGGCTTGTTCTTGATTGATTTTCAAGTGTCAGACTCACCAAGAGAAAGAAAGACAGAGAACTCAATTCCTTCTCTCTCTGTTTTTTTTTTTTTAACTTTCTGAAATGCAATTCCTTTCTTTTACGTTATTCCTATTTCCTGACTTCTCTCTGACGTCCCTTTTATTCTAGCCTACCTTTTGCTACCCTGTTTCAAGCCATTCTATTCAACAGTACAATCAATCCATCCTCTGCTTTTTTTCTGTACTGTTTTTTCTCTTCAAATCTGGGTGTGGGTCTGTGTGGTTCCTAGTTTTTCCCAAAGATTGATCGAAATGGCAGTCGAACTTTGCTCTGAGAATTGTGGGGCTTCTACAATGAGTCCGAGAATTTCGTTCTCGCATGATTTCTCTCAATCAGATGTTATCCCAGTTGAGCAAACCCCTTTTAGATCAAACTCCTCTGGTTTGAACTCCAGCTTTGATTTTGATGTTTGTGTTCGTGAGAGCTTGGAGCAAGAGTCATCTTCAGCGGATGAGCTCTTCTCTGATGGCAAAATGATTCCCACTGAGATCAAGAAGAAGAAGAAGAAGAAAGACCAATCACCACTTCATCAAACCGTCCCACCCACTGAAACTGTTCGTGAAAATGCCTCAACCAGGAAAACAATCAGGAACGAAAGCCTCAGAGAGCTCAAGCAGCAGCAACCTGTAGTGAATACTGATGAAGTTGATGAGAAGCAGAGTTCTAATTCTAATAATACTAACAAGTCGTTCTGGGGATTCAAAAGAAGTAGCAGTTGTGGCAGTGGTGGCTATGGAAGAAGCTTATGTCCTTTGCCACTTTTATCAAGAAGCAATTCGACTGGTTCTGCTCCTACCCCAAGTGCTAAGAGGATGCCACTTTCAAAGGAAGGTCCCAACATGAAGCAAAATCCTCACAAGCATACTCCCACAAGGCCTTATCAAAAGCCTCCATTGAAGAAAATCCATGGATCTTATGTCCATAATGGCGTTAGAGTCAACCCTGTTATCAATGTTCCTTCTGCAAATTTATTCGGCTTGGGTTCAATCTTCTCCAGCAACAAGGATAAGTCCAAGAAGAAGTGATCCACAGAAAGTTTCCATAAGGGGTATGTTTAAATTGAGGAGAATGATTCAATTTTAACATTTCCTTTAACTGTTATTCTCCTCAGTCTAAACATATCCAGATAAGTATATATCTAAATAAGAACAATTTGATTCCTCTTTCCTGTCTCTCAAGTCTTCTTGAGCGAAAAAAACTAGCCTGAATCTGCAAATTAACAATGTTGCTTGTACTTTCGGTGTGGATTTGAGTTTGACTATGATGTTGTTAGGAAAATTAGGTAAAGTTTTAGAGAGGTAAAGAAAAAGGTATGAAATTTGCAGGATCAAGAAGACAGAGAGAGAGAGAGGGGGAGGGAGATGAAAGAAGCGCAGGAATGATATAATGCAGGCACATGGTTTGGGGCACAAAAAGACAGGTAATGGTAGCTTTCATGGCTGTCCCTTGCTTGTTTGTTTGTTGTTGTACCTTTGTTATTTGGTCAGACAATGTGTAAATACATTGATTTTGGTTCAGGTTTTTTTTTTTCCCCCCTTTTTATTATTTGCTTGTTCTTGTTCTTCTTCTCTTCTCATGCCTGCTGATGCTGCAGTCTCTGAAACATGAGACTGATAGAGAAGAAAGAAGCTTCTTTTGTGCAATTTTATGATGAAAGAGATTGGTTTGTTCATGTTCATCTTCTGCATTTGATCGGTGGCGTTTGTCCTTTATTGATCGATTCTATAATATATTCTCTTCTGTGAGATATCTATCTTCTTGTTAGCCGGGAATGTAACTCTGGCCATATTAGAAATAAGTTGTAACCTTTTTTCATATTTTCAAAAAAAAAAAATCATATGTTAATGATTTTTTTTTAAAATTTACAATACAATTTCTATTTTTTTTAGGTACACATTTTGTTAATGAAATGATTGACTACAGAAAAATTATGTGTACATATGTAAAGTTTTGAGAGAATTTATAGCAAAGCCTTTTTTCCTCAAAAAAAAGAGAAACAAGAAGCTTCAAAATTTAAGGTATTATATGCAATTAAACTACTTTAAGGTGAGAAACTTTTTTAAACTAAAAATTATGTTGATTGGAACAAAATATAACTAGGTAAATTCAAAAGGACAACAGTAAATAAAATAAAGATGAACCCCAAAGCAAACCGCATTCATGTGATTTGTAAATGGAAAGTTATAAAAAAAATATTATTCCTAATTATAAATTTATTTATATATTAATATATATATGAAAACTATGTATTATAACATTAATACCTATAATCAAATAAAAATATAACCCTTTGAGAAATTAAAATTTATAATTTGAAATTTGAGAAATCAAATCTAAAATGAAAATAAATTTTAAAAACTAAAAATTATATTAATCTTTAATAAGACCATGAGTATAGTTAATTTCTTATTTGTTGGGGAAAAAAAAGTGAAATTCTTATTTACCTGGCTCACCGTTCTAGACTGGAGTCCCTGGAGCCCTGGTCTCCTGGACAGTACGGGGAAGATGGATTCAGTCCATAAATGCATGTTTTTTCTGCAGTTTCATAAATGAAATGGGAAGTACTCCTTGCATTTGATTCATCGAATGCTCCAAACAATTAATTGAAGTTAAAAAATTTACAAGTAGTTCCTTAACTTTTACATTTTCACCGTATAACTAACTCTAATTTATGAGTTGGTAAAAACAAACTACTCCTCCGGTTTTTAATGCAGAATCTAATTGTTAAATTAGTTTTGATCTTAAATATAAGATTCATTTATCATATTTATCAATTTTTTTAAATTATCCATATGGATATTCCTTCAACCATAATCAAATAGAAGAGGAAGAGGGAATATTAATAAAGATGATTATGGTATTTTAGGAAAAACGTATCACATTTCTTATAATTAACTAACTTATCTAACTTCATTAATCTAATTAAATGAGTCTTATATTAAAGACCGAAAGAGTATAATTTATGCTTTTATGATAAAACAGAGTGATATTTTATATTAATAGTTAGTTGTCCTAGTCGCAGCATCAACAATAATGACGCCTGTGATATTTGGATGAGAGTAATATTTATTGGAACGATCTTTAAAACTATAATTATTTGTATAGATCAAATATTAAAATATAAATATAAAACTATTAAATTATTCTTAATTAACTAAATCCATATATTTTCTTTAATTACACCTCCATTGAATTTTTTTTATAAATCTTTATACTAAAATTCTTTGTAATCTTTTTTTTCATAATTATTTGCAACAAAAATTTATTGAAATCAAATTAAAATTATTTATTGTTAATCCAAAATATTTTATATACCTAAACACAAGATAAAATGAAATTATTCATCTACATAAACCATACGAACAACAGTTAATTTTTATTTTTGTCTTTCTTCAGATTTCAATGGAAATTCCTCTTTTTCAAATATCTCTTTTTTTTTAACCTTTTTTTTATAAATTTTTTTGCTGTATATATATGTTATAAATATATTTAAGTTTAAATAAACATATTTATATGTAAAATACTATAAATTGATTTTTTGAGTTGAAATAAATATTGATGTTTAAAGTATTTAAATTATATTTTTTTATGTTTAAAGTGTGATGCTTGGACTCTTTGATAATTAAATTGTCTGATTTAGTTGCATAAAATATATATTTAGGTATATAAGATATTTTGGATTAATAGTAAATAATATTGATTTTATTTCAATAAATTTTGTTGCAAATAATTATGAGAAAAAGATTATAAAGAATTTTGATAAAAAATTAAGGAGATTATGAAAAAATATATGCAACTGAAATGTAATAACAGGAAATGTAGAGATTTGGTTAAGGTTATTTAATAGTTTTATATTTATATTTTAGTTTTTTGTCCTTATAAATAATTATAGTTTTCAGGATCCTTCCTAATAAATATTGTGCAGAGATAAATGCTATTACAATATCTCACAAATCATAAATGCCTTTGAAGTGAAATTTCAAACTCGTTACATATAAAAATAGACTCAAAAAGCTTTTCGATAATGTCTATCCCAAAAAAAAATGTTTTCATATGAAATAAGATATGATTTTTTAAATTTAGTTCCAAACCTGGTGAAAAAAATATTTCTGACCCTTGCTCAATATTTCAATCATTATTTTGAAAATTACAAAGCATGCTTTTAACTAAAAAAGTTTGGGATCAACGGGCATCTAAATTTTGAATTATTTTACCCCTTAAGAAATGGCGTCAACTCTGTTAACTTGGGGGAATCAATTGCTCCATTTTTAATATATGATAGGGAAAATTTCACCATTAAATATTTAAGGATATTGGATGCACATAAAAAATAAATCAGAGTATTAAGTGCATCTTAATCCTAAAACTTATTTTATATATATTGATATATTGATGAAATTCCTTTTCTACTATGAGATATGTTGAGGTGAGCTTCAATGGACTTGGACTTGATTTCATTTCACTACCTTTTTCTTCACTATGTTGTCCTCATCATATTATATTTTATTAGAATAACTTAATTTATATTTTTAAAATTATCAAATTTAATAATAAGTTCAATATAATATACTATAAACACTATAATTTATAGGTTATATTTTATTAGAATAATTTAATTTATATTTATAAAATTATCAAATTTAATAATAAGTTCAATATAATATACTATAACCTATAAATTATAGTGATTACACTACCAACTCGGAAGAAAAAAGTATCCTTTGTGTGTGTGAGTGAGAGGGAGGGAGATAGTAATGGATATTGATATTAATTGATACTAATTGGTTTAAAATAGGTTAAGTTATGTCATTGTTACCAATACTCTTTTTGATGTCGAACCAAGATTCTCTCATGATCCTTGTTTTCCTTTTCTTCTTAAAAACCCTTCTCCACCCTAAATCCAAGAAATGGATAGTTTATATGTAATATTTTACCAAATTATTATTAAAATATTTTATAAACTGCTGGCCAAAAAAATATTTTATATAGAATTGTTCATATTAAATTTTAATAGTTTAAAATTTAAATTTTATATTTTAATAATATTATAATGGTTTAAATTTTATTATTCATATTTTAATAATATTATAATAATACTTTTTAAACTATTATATCTGAACCATCTTTAATCTAAGAGAGAAGAAAAGATTTTGAGAGGAAGAGGAAAAAGAGAATTTTATCACTGAAAAAAGCAAAGAGAATTTTGAGAGCATCTGAATCCCTTTGATGCTTTCTCTTCTTAATTTTCTTTCAAGTTGACATAAAATTATTTATTATATTTTCACAGGTATTAAATATATGAACTAGATAATTAATTTAAAATTATTTAAATTAGTTATTTATAATAAATATGTGTTATTTTTAAATATTTCTTTAATCATTACCCCATTGGTATAAATCCCTTTTAATACATGCCATCAATATCAATTTAAGAGACGAAACAAATAATTGGGTAAATTACTTAACAAACCCATACATTTAGAATGAGAGCAAATATAACAATAAATTACACAAAAACATAATCTAAAAACACACTTACCTCCGTGTAACATTAGAATCTCAATTCACAAAGCACTTAATTTTATGGTTTGCAATTATTTAAAGTTGGGCTTTTGAACTCCAACGAAGTGTCCTCAGGCTTAACCGTACCTTTCCTAATAGAGATTCAAATCTTGATTCACCATATTGTGATAGATTAACTCCTTTCGCTAAACTTAACCCATGTTGGCTATTGCTTTTTTTTTTTTTTTAAACATTGTGCTAGCCCAGTTTGCGGTATAGTTCTTTTCTCTTTGGGCTTTTGATTGGGTCTTTTCTGACGTTTAGTGGATTCCTTCCCTTGTTAGCATTTTTGTTCCTTTTTCTTACCCATACTTTCTTTTTTTTAAAAAAAAAAGACGATTACCTTTCTTGGAGTTCAAAGTAGAATTAGTTGGCTCCTTGGGCTTTTCAGAGGGCTGAAGGTAATTAGCTTCTTCATGCAACAGATTATTTGAAGTTCAGAATGTGTTTTGACTTTAAGAAATAAAAAGTACCACTTAAACCTCTGACTTTGAGGAAAAAAAATTGACTCTTCTAGTTGCATTTGAAGGTTTCATTGGAGCTGGCCCGTTTGGTCGCGTGATGAAGAGATGCTAGAAACCTAAATATCTAACATATTACCAACAGTATTGGGTCTTGCAGAAGAGGTTAGTCTCACACAACGTGCCGAACCAAAGTTCGAATTCCCTTTGTAAGAGGTGCCTATATTTAGTGCTCGATAGTACTTCGAATAAGATT